GTTTCCTTTTGTATAGAAGTTTTCTAAAGGGGAATTCAAGCTTGGTGTATTTTGAAAGAGTGAGGGGAAAGGAAAAAAAATAGAGACACTCCATTGCTTGCAATGAAGGAAGGGAGGAAAGGAAAAGAACTAAGAGAAAAGAAGTAAAACAGGTAGGAACTACTCTCAGTTTCATAAGAAAAGAGTGAATGTTTCAAGGGAATTGCAAAGATGTGATCTGTAACAGGGCTTCATCACCCTGCTGCTCTGGTATGTGGAACTATAACAAGCCCAAAGTGATAAACAACTCCAATCAGGAGCTGTTTGAGCTCTGCTTGAAAACCTCACTGCAAGAACAAGTGCAAACAGTTATACCTAGACCTATTTCAGTCCATGCTGAGCTCTCTGGATAGCAGCATAAACTTGCATTCTTTCCATCACCTCATGCATGAGCACCCAATGGACCCCTGCATGAGTGCCCAATCCTCTTCTGCTCGACTGCCCCACCACTTCACGCATGTGTGCCCGAGCACCTTATGCACTGACACCCAATTAATTCACACAAATGCACCCAATTAATTTCAGGAGTGCCTCATCAGCACATCCACGGGTACGTTATGAGTGCACACGTGGTGCATGAAGGACCATGCCTGCAGTGATGCCCAGAAGGGTGAATTGAGGCCAGGAACGCGGGAGGAGAGACATGGGTTGGCCTAAACTGAGAATGGAACAGTTACTTTATTGTTTGGTTAATTCTTCATATTTCAATTCCCAAATCAATCATTACAAGTTGGTGTTAATCAGCAATAAATTAAATTAAAATTAACTGAGTTGAGACCGTTTGGACTGCAACAGCATGTCTGAACACTGAGAACGAGGAAGGACTTAAGCATTGAACCACAAGGGAGAGAGCACCCTAAGCAATCAATTGCTGCTATCAAGTAATCTGCCCTAGAGATTAAAGAACACAAAGCAATAAAGCATTGTAATGAAAAAAGGTTTTTAGTGAGAAATGGGGGTCACAGGGAAAATGCACATTAATTTCAGCACATAATCGCACCATACGGACACAAGCAGTTTGTTGCTAAAATGATCACTGTGGTGAATACTGCACTAGAGATTCTTCTTCCATCAAGTGTGACTTTAACTGTAAGCAAGAGGGTGACAAACATAAACGAGAAGCTTCAGAAATGACACAATCGTCCTGCTCCAGTTTTCTTAATATCTGGATCACTGCAGGTACATGCAGCCCCCTCCAGAGACTGGGGAGGGGAGGTGTGGGCCCAGCCCCCTGTGCAGCCAGCAGCAAATGGCAAAACTTACCATGCATTTTCCCAACAAGGCACAGTTTATTCCAGCCTAGAAAAACCCCTTGGCATTTCAAGATCAAGCTTGAGTTAACTTCCTAACACTTCTGCACCCCAGAGCTCCTAACGTCTAAAATAAACCACTCCCTTTTATCACAAGAGAACATTGACTCTTGCATTTCATTGTTTTAATATTAATTTGCAACTCTTACCTTCTTTCAATACATTCTCCTTCCATAAAAAAAAAAAGATACATACTGCCCACTGAAATGTTTCACACCTCTTTAGCACTGAGAGTAAGGCTGTCCAGTGCAAAGTCAGCAGCAAGTGGTGTCCCTCCAGTGCTCTTCTACACCTTCATCAGTAACACTGACAGTGGGATGGAGTGCACCCTCAGCAAGTGAGAGCTGGGTGCCCCCAGCATGCCCAAGGGATGGGCTCAAACACTGGGCCCAGGTGAATCTCGTGGACTAGATGACCTTTAAGGGTCCCTTCCGACTCAAACCATTCTATGATTCTATGATGCTAATTCATGAGAACTACAGGTATGTAAGTGAAACATTCCCTTTCTGCAATAAATAAAAACGACCATAACTCCATGGCCAGTTGTGCATCCCCCACCTGAATATTACCAGACTGGATAACACACTCAAGCCAACAGTGGTGATCTGGATTTTCTTTCCCTGCCTATCTTATCTCTCTTTTCTTCTCCATCTCTTCTCTTTATTTCCCTTTTCAAGTTATATTTGAACATAACTCAAGGCATGTAATCACTGCTAATAAGGTACAGGTACATAGATATACTGCACATCTTGTGCTAAGTATTGAAGTGGGATACAGATAAATGTTCAACTGATCGTTTGGTTCCATTTCACTTTAACTTAGTCCAAGGGAATTTCAAAACCTCAGCAACCCTGATCAGACTAAATCACGACAGCAAGAGGAACAGAGAAGGCAATCTGAAGTAGAAACACTTATACCCAACTTTTTCTTCATTGACTTATTTAAGACACAAGTGTGGCTCTGATGAAGAAAATGGCTTCATGGTCAAACATTCGTGCTATGAACAGCATTCAGATCATGAGAGTTAGCCAGACCCATCTGCTGTAAAGCCACTGGGTAAATCCCAATGATTTCCATATTTGTTCTTAATTCTATTTCTTTGTTGAGCAAATCCCATACAGTGAATCTAACACTGAAGAAAGACATTTCCATTTTAAAATAACAGGTTAAGATGTCCCCATCTACATTACATTTGCAATTATAGTTACTTAAAAACAATACAAAGGAAAAACAAATAAAATCTCCCATAAGTTAGGCCTTACTATCTCTGACCTCAATATCATTTGCTGACACAGACAAACATTTCATAAAGCTCTTCTATCATTATTAGCCATAATTTAAATAATTACTGGGCAGGAAAAAAAAATCTGTTCAACCATGGCTCTCTAATCTAGTAATTAAATCCACCTGCAGGAAGCTGAACAATTTGTTTCCTGCGTATGGCTATTAATGCAGTCAAGTATTTTACACTAGGCAGTATATCACCAGGAGAGACGGAGGCATACAGCCAGTAATTAAGCCACACTTTGATAAGGTCAGAAACATCCACCCAAGCTTCTCCACAGACAGAGGTCTCAAATGAGACAGTTCTGCCAATGTCCATCAGGCTGCTAGTTAAACATGGGATATATTCTCCTATCATCACCTGGGTGGAATTCTGGCATATTCTGGCTGTTTGACTTATTTCAGCGTAGTTATTACTTCTTGCTAAGCCCACTCAAGTGACTGAGTGAATAGTTTGACCAAGTCCACATATAGATGAGTATGTTATTAAACAGACAGCATGGGAACTGGCTGGATCATGTTATCAAGTTCTCTGCGTTGCAACAAACACATCACACACCACTCACCTGACGCATCAAAAGCCATCTCTGGATCACTCAGAGTAACTTTGGTTTAGTTAGCTTGAGTCTAAGCCAAAAAATAATTATGACAGCATCAGCTCCACGTCCATGAGCTCCGGGTCTGAGTCCCACGCTGCAGTTCTAGCAGTAACCAAACAGGACACTGCAGCATGCCACCCAGATGCAGTGCTGAGAATGCATTCCTGCCAGCCACAGCACTTGCCAAGCAAACTGAAAGCTGCTCCATAACAAACAGCTATCTGCCAACAAGGTCTGTTCTGCAGATGGGTGCTGCCTGTAATGGGTGTGCGTGTGGGCAGTGCCAGCATGCTCTCCCCACATCCACGGTGAGGTCATGAAAAGACCATTACAACTTCTATGTTCTGAGCAGAAAGGGCAGCTCAAAACATAGGCGTTGTACTGGTTTCTCTTAACCAGATATCTTCATATCTTTAGCTAGGTGTATTTGTGTCCTTTTACATTATGTCTCATTTTGATCATCCATCTCAATTTGATATCTCTGTTTTGTGGTTACTCCTGCAGAGAAAATTCTGGATTTTATCCAAATGATGGGAAATTTCGCCCATTTAGATTACCTGAAGCCAATAACCTTTCTACTGGAAAGCTCCCATCTGGCTAGAAGTACTGCTGCTGCATTTTTCAGCTATGTGATTCCTTTGCAAATGACCCAGCATTATGCTCCAGACATGAAATTTTCTTCAAATCCTCCTCAAGAAAAAAATGTGCTCTTGTTCCAAATTACACACATAAATAGAACAGTGGTTTAATTTGTCTTTAGGAAGCTGTCGAAATGGACAGTGTCAATATATTTTATCCTTGGAAATGAAAATACCTTATTTAACGGTACAGTAGAGAGATCTGTGAAAATGCTACATAAATACTATAGAGTTTGATGGCAAAGTTTTCTGCCAAGTGGCTCAGATATTGATATTATGTATTCCACAGTATGTGGGTCATGATGACAAAATGTGTTATTAGTCTTTCTCAAAATGATTCCTTAATTCTCTCTCATACTCCATTGAAATATCACATTGCACGCATTTAACATACAATGCAAATGCATACATATTTTAAAATAAGCAATAAGCAATATGTATCCATTCAGTACTCAATAAGCAATATTTATACGTTATCATATCATCCCTCCTTTGAGTAACAGTGATTTTCTGAGCTAGGAGGAAATTTTGTGCTGTGATATAAATGCTTGTCCAAGCTTTGGAATAGAGAATTAATATACTTTTTATAATAACAAAAACCAACAGTTTTCCAATAGCCCCTCTTCAAATGAAAATGCAGCTTCATTTGCAATACTGCTGACACAGTAACGCATGGCTGGTGATGAAAAATACCTGGTTACTTTGTGCACAGTAAGCAGTTCTGTCAACACAATGAAGGTCTGAGGTGGTTACAAGAGGACTTAGTAAAGTTGGTTATGAAATGCAACTACAAAATTAGCAAACGAACAAACAGCACTGAAGAATAAGCAGCACTGGAACAGAAGTGATCTAAGTTTGCTATTCCCAGTGATCACTTCTATATTTTACTTAATACTTTTTGTAATTGCACTTCTTTTTACTGTACATTTTTCCTTTTATACAATAGTCCAGATTGCCAATCTAGTCCATAGAAAATGAGTGCATTAATTGCCCGTTGGTATTAAAGGGCGTCTTGTCTTTCAAACAAACACGCCTATGCTGCTTCTCATATGCTATCTGGCTTCAGAACTTCAGAGACATTTCAAAACAAAATGTGCCTTAGGCCAAATAAAGTTGTGAAGGCATCCTACCGGAGTGACTGAAGGCGACCTGGTTGGCGGAACGGGGACCTGTATCCACAGACAGGATGGGGACCGCCTGCCGCACGTCCCACAGCTTCAGCACACCACGGGAATCACAGGAAGCAATCGTGTTGCTCTGTCCAGGTTGGAAACAAAACCAAGGCATTCATTAGATATTTTGGCAAAGAAGAATGCAAATGATGTAGGGCTGGATATGTCCGGATGCCAGGCACTGAAACTGTATTTTAAGTAGAAATAAGTTAATGTGTTTGGTTAACAGAGCCTCTTGATCGCTACTTTAACTTGAAGACCAGCACTACCAAAGAAAACAGTTTATTAGAAACCTTAAGTAAAAGAGAGAACAGAGGTCATTTTGGATTTTGATATTAGTGTCCTCCAAGAATATGGCTTGTGATTATAACTCTCACAGAGACACAGGATTTACTTCTTATTTAAACCTCCAGTATAAAGATTCGAAATAGCAAATCCCCAAAGCAGCTCAGCTGGTGTGTATTCAGAGTTATTAAGTCAGTGTTTTTTTCCAATTTGTGCAATGGTTTGAGAATAGATTAACAGATAGTGTTTTGCAGGAGAATTGCAATGATACAGAACTGAGACTCGGGGAAAACACTGGTCAGGTGCCACATCCATGGCTTTGTCATATTTGGCTAATATTTATTTCTTTGATATAAGTAACACATGCAAGAAAATGTGTGGGGCCATCTAGCAAAGAGGAATTAAGATCAGAAAATATCCATTATCTTCTCAAGCAGAAAGGAACAGCCTGCAAAACACTATCATGCTATAAGTTTAATGAAATCTTTAGGTCCATTTGTAGGGTACTAAGCTGTTCTACTGGAACAGGCTGCCCAGGGAGGTTGTGGATGCCCTGTCCCTGGAGGTGTTCAAGGCCAGATTGGATGGGGCCCTGGGCAGCCTGGTCTAGCATTAGCTGGAATGGTTGGTGGCCCTGCGTGTGGCAGGGGGGTTGGAGATTCATGATCCTTGAGGTCCCTTCCAACCCTGGCCATTCTGTGATTCTGTGATTCTGTCAGAACTCCATTCTGGCTTGTTACAGGAAACAACATGGAGTGATACACAGAAACAAAGCAGTCATTAGCCAGAATTCAGCTGGCAACACATAGGCTCTCAGCACTTGTTGCTTTGCAAAAAAGCACTGTTAACCTATCTGCATCACACCTCAGCAAGAGTGGTGCTGCTGAGCATGATGGAGGAGCTGTTTGTTTTAATATCTGTTCATCCACACTTGCCCAGTGCTTTCATTTCAACAGTAGCGAAAGTTCAGTAGGGGAAGTTCAGCCCATGCAAATGATGAGGGCAAGCAAGCCATGCACGAAACAAAACAACAAAGAAATGAATGCAACAGCTACAATCTGAATCATGACACGGTTTGATCTGGATCTCAACAAAGCATGTTTTCAGTGGAAAAACATCACCGTGCGTTCTTCCCTGTCCATTCCCTATCCTTTTTTAATCTTCTCATCCTATTCACTCCCATGTTGATTTTGTCCATCTCTGTTACATGACAAGTTGCTGGAAGGCACCACGTATCAGATACACTGAAGGCCCACAACAACCATTACTTAAGTTCTCTGCAGGCTGCAATGTGTGGCCATGCCAGAAAGGACCGACCTGCAGGATCCTCACAGATCCACGTGAATGGAGCAGGGCTGGACAAACCTGGTGTGGGAGCAGCATCCCACTGTGCTTGGTGCTGTGCAGACAAGCTACAAAAGATGGTCCTGCTCCAGAGGCTTTGCAGTCTATCCCAGAAACGAGATCAACCAGCTCCCACTGACACATCTCTGCAGGCTTTCTATCCATTTCCTCCCAGATGCCTGTACAAACACACTGTGCATCAATGCAACACACGTAGGATATCGTGCCCAACATGCATGAAAAGGAGCAGACCTCATCTGCAAAAAGAACTGAGAAAACACAGGGTTCTGATGGCAACCTGTAACACACGCTCAACGTACAGGACTCTGGTGGCAATACACAACATATGATAACAGGCATTTTCTGTGCCTCAGAATACTCTGCCCACAACCTTATCATCCAATGCTTTAATTATTATTGATACCTACGCAGCTCCTACACCAAAAGCATACCAAAAGGATTTTCTTAATGAGTCAGCTATTACATTTCACTTCTTCACTTGCCTTGATCCCCATTACACACCTTTTCTAAATCAAGAGAGCCGAAGATGGGGGATAACAACTTCTCAATAGGAACAAATAAACTGTGAATGTAATCAAACTTAAGGACTATTTGAAGCTACACGCCATTCAGAGATGAAGAAAGGAATAAATCATATGTTAAATGAACTCATTTGCTTCTGGCCATGGGCCATTTTCAAAAGCTTTAAAGTAGAATCATTACGAATTCTTGTATGAGCTTTTGGCTTTTTCGTTCCCTTCGCAGCTACTGTTCCAGTTATTCATATATGAATGAACTGCATTGCTCGTTGAGTTCTTTTTGCTTCTTGCCACAATAACATCTTTTTTCTGATGCTTTTTCAATAATACATTACACAAAACATCAAGTTGGACTGTTAGGGCTCAACTAATGTTCCTACATTTAGAAGTAGGGTACAATGAGATCCAAGGAGAAGAAGATGTGCAAAATGAGCTTTATATTGTATGATTTTCAGTAAGATTATATTTTATACCGCATCACCAAAGTGCAGTTGTACAATGGCTGCTCCGAAAGTAATGCCTCCTAAGTTGAATTCCTCACGTGGAAAGAACAGCACCCACTGACACTGAATGTTTATGGAGACCAAGCAGTGGATGTGAGCACATGAGGTGGTGGATGGTGTGTTTCAGCAGCAGTGACAGTGGATCATCTGTGCTGGTGCAGGTTATTACGGGCGCAGCATGCAGGCTTTTGTTCATTGCTGGCAAAAATGCACAGCTAATGGTGGTGACTGTGTTGAAAAATAGTGTTCTGTAGCTGAGAATTTGCTCTATCATATGGTGTTATCGTGCTCTTTGTATCAGTTGTTGTCTCCATCTCTTTTGGTGTGACCTACATATTATATCCTCTAATCAAGGAGCACGTAGAATGATTCACAAAACTGGTGAGAGCTTCTTCCTAGTCTATACAATTAAGCTGGTACTTTTGTGAGTGTGCATGCTCAAGTAATTAAAAATTTATACAAGGATTCAATTAGTTTGAATTGAGAGACTGGTTCCAGGCTCCACTGGACTTTGCCTTCACAGTTCTGCCTCCTGACTCTTTGCCTTCTCTGCCCTCCTAATACACATCTCTATATTATGGGAGATCCCCCCTTCAATGGGTACATGCAACATAATCCCAATCTCAAAAGGCACTTAAAAACCATTGTAAAATAATTACTTGTAACCTCATGATGATATCTGCTGATGAGAAATTCAGGTTTAAATCGTTTCCATTAAGTTTTTTAAATCTTGTTTTCCTTTTTTTGAAATACTTTTTTTTTTTTTTTTTTTTCCTAGTGAATATTAATAATGATTAACAGTGGAATTAATCATCAGGTACAAGTTAATTTAATTTCCTGAAGATTACCATATATCAGTAACACATGAACTGTAACAGACAGCTTTATCTAATTTGGACTGCAATAAACCCCTCCCAGCAGTATTCTCATCCAAGTTCTGTTCTGAAGGAAGGTCAGCAGTTGTTTCATGGCCCTCTGTGAATGTTTTAGGTGAAACAATGAGTGAAGGAGCTCACTCTGTCAGTTTGATAACTACTTTTGCTCACAGAGCATCAGGTAATGATACTGCATTCACAGACCCCATCTCCCATCACTTACCTCCCTGGCCTGGTGACACAGCACTGCCAGGGTCTGTTCTGTGCCTGAGGAGCTGCAGCTGGAAACTGTTTGCCATGGAACCCCAGAAGACTGTATGATGAACAGCTTCAGCTGCCTCAGACTGAGACAGAGTGGGGAAATATGCATTTCTAACATGCACCCTGCGGGACACATCCCAAGTCACTTAACTCTACCGCCATTTTATACGCATTAACTTATTTTTTAAGAGGAGGAAATCATTACCTCCCACATTTACAGCATGAAGCACATCAGAAACCCGGTGAGAGCCGTTAACCTCATGCCTTGATGTAATACAAAAGCTAGCAGCAGTCAGAAAAAAGTGTGATGGGGCACAAGCAGCCAACAGTCCTGTGCCTGAGCCATCCCATCTCATGGGCTGGATCCAGGCTTTCTGAGCTGCAGAGAGCCAGGGCTGGGGAATCCCAAGGGAATTCAGGCAGGGGTGGATGAATGTGCTGCAGCTTTAACAGGGAAAAAGACTCTAATGTCCTATTAAGCCAAATGAATTATGCAAAATATCACAGAGATGGAGAAAAAAATGCAGATGTGTTCCATTATTAGACTGATGACTAATCAATCACCACCCATTTTTGAAGCATCGGGTTTAAACCACTCTGGTTTCAAATGAAAATAGCATCTTCTTAGAAAGACACAGAGTTACTTAGCCTGGTAAAACTATAGAACTACATTACCACTTTGAGAGTGCGGCAGTATTAATAGTCATTTTCATCAAGAGTGGAGGCTACAGGCACTGCCAGTACCTTCCCATCTGATTTTGCCTTTTCAGTTTTGAGTTTGCATCACAATCAAAGTAATGATATATGTCTCAAGGCAGCTACAGACAATAAACATCTAGAGCTTAGGCAACTACGGTCTGGTATTCTGTTCCTGTGGCTTTTTTTGTCTTAATCTAATAGTCATCAGTTGGCAAGAGGAGCTCTTCTGGAAGAGAGGAGAGTCAACACAGATGCGGAAAGAGTCTTCCCAGAGCTCCACAGTTGGCTCCTCCAGCTTTATTTGCAGTTGTCAACGGACAACTCCTCATTTTGCACCGTGCAGTTGACTGTTAAGACTTCTACAACTTGCTGCAATAATTTACTGGGTTGTTTTTCTCTTAATATTATGGCCCGATGTGCAATTTTTGAGTGCACTGACTGTGTGTGCTCTGGGGCAAGAGCAACTTCCCTCACAAAAACAGCTCTACATGCTCTGCAAGCATTTGATAAAAGACAATATCTATTATTAAAAACCATTATGGATTCATAACTACAAGAATTTGCTGCAAGCTCTCTCTC